TAAAGTCAAAGAGAATGTGAACAAGAATTCAAGAATTCCATGTTGACACAATATGCCTAATGGGGTGGTTAAAAGAAAAAGATAAATAAAAAAAGAACCTTGGTATGGCTGAAGTTCCGTGGAGAATTGTGTTTTGTAGTGCCCCCTTCCCACCTAACTGAAGATCTCTTATCTAGATAAACCAGAGGTGAATACCCCAAATCATAAGCCTCATATAAATGCAGAAGGACACAGACCACAAATCTTGCAATTAGAGACTGCTTCCCAGGTCATCTGCATTAGGTTGTAGAATCTGCCTTCAACTTGGGGAAGTCACTGCAAATCTCATCCACTACTTGTTCCATGTTTAYTGATTAGCTTCCATATTCAGGCATTGTGCTAGGCTCTTAAGGACCACATCAAATAAATCTTCTACACTCTAATTTGTTTAAGCACACTAGTTGGGAAAGGCAAAAAAAAAAAAAAACCAACAATATGTAAGGACTGTAGAAAAATATGAAATGCRGAGGAACATTGTCATATCTAAACCTGGGTCTCAAGGAATTCAGATGAGAACCAAATTTTGAAGGAGAACTACTAGGAGTGAGTGAGTTTTATGTAAGAGAGCAAATGAGGAGCCTGCCACAGAAGGAAAATAAAGACACTTCCTCCTTAGGGAAAAAAACAAAAACAAAAAAAGACTACTGCCCCATCTCTCAATTGATCAGTCCTACAAATTCATCTTCAAAGGAAAAAGCTCTTTGCTGTAGGCTAACCAGACATACTTCCCTTGTGTCTGCTAAAGCAAAAGTTTAGGTGTTCACTTGCTTCCTATTGTCAGGAAGGAGAACATGGCCCAGGTGTCCTGTTTGAACAGCTCTACAAATGTTGCATGGCAATAAGAGAATAAGCTGCATATTCTCTGAGCAATAATAGTCTGTGGGGAGGTGGTGTGGCTCTACTTTGCAGCAAAGCATGCATTTAATACTGTAATAAGTAGTAAGGCGATCTTTATCACCAAATCAAAGCATATCTGCACAGACAGTAAGAATTAGATATAGTTAAGAATTACTGTTTATGCTGATGACTAAGCAAGAGTATTTTACCTATGCTTTCCTGATATTACCAATAAAAGCTCAATCCAAGGAGAATTGCATGTGATAATTTGTTATTCCCACACCAATCTAGTCTGGCTGCATCTTAGAAAAAGCACAAAAGTACGCAGTTTGATATGTGATTTTGGCTGGTAGCATATTTTCTGTATATGTGATGAAAAAAATTCACTTTATTTTCAAATATAGGTCATTTTAGATCATTTAACTTTAATGTTCTTATCCTAAGGCCCAAATAGAGTGAAAGTAATAAAGCTTGAATCTAATCATTTAGTCTGAAGGTATTTATTTATCAAGGGCCTTCTATGTAAAGTCCTCTTTCTCACTCAAATGGATGCAGGCATACCATCCCCAGAATCCTATGGGGGGAGGTGGAAAGAAGCTGGAACCCAGAAAGGAGTCCCTGTTGGACTATAGTATTTCTAGTTTGCACTACCCCTGATTATTTTGGCCTCTAATCAATATTAACCCATTGACTACATATTTCACTATTTGATTTCATTTTTCTTTGCTATTTTTCTTGCTTTTTCCCAGTATTTTTATTTTTTTTTTGAAAATTATCAAATTTATCCATTTTATCCTAATCATAAAAAAACATTATTTGGGTTTCTGTTGTAGATAATTAAGAATTTCAACCTAGCCACAGGAAAAAAGGCATCTTGCTAAAAAAGCATTTCTGTTATAAAAAGAAAAACATTTGACCTTAATAGACTACTTTAATGTCTTTATTCCACCATAAAGAAAATTTAATAATTTTCACACCATGTGTAGACTAAGAGGTTTAAAGGTGAAGCATGACAAAAGGCACTAGGTCTGTAGGACTTGCATTAGCATTTAATCTCAGATCTGTTAAAAAAAAATATTTAGGGGCTGGGAGCGTAGCTCAGTAGTACAGTACATGCCTAACATACACACAGCACTGGATTTTATTTCCAGGACTGTAAAACAATATAAATATATATATATATATATATATGAAAGATGAAGGATAATTCAGAAAAAAAACACTAGTTATATAGTCATAGGACAAAATGAATCAGCGTGCAGTAAAAGATTAAAAGACTTCAATACTCAGAGCAAATAAAAAACATAGCTGTAATTTCTTGAAAGGTGGCTTATCAAAAACAGATTAAAGAAACCAAAGCCTTGTATAATACTCAAACTAATTCAACTTATTTACACTGAGGCTATTAGATCTCATCTTCATGCAGCAATGGTTAACACATTTGAGATCCAGGTTTTGGACTGATCTAACGGAACTAACGATAATACATCTTGAGAAGACTAGACCAAGTACTGTTTCTTCTGTTTTTATATGTGAACTCAGAGCTATCCCCAGCTGCTATAAATGCTACTCTCTCTGTCCTGCAAATGTCTTTCTGTATCTGCCCCAGCCATCTTCCACACACGGATACACATTCACAAACACATGGACACACACACACACGCACACACATTTGCATATTCACTTTCCTGCACACCTGTCTTCTTGCTGCTGGCCTGCACGTCCCCATTCTGCTACTCCCACCCTGGTGAGCCTTTGCCACAGTTGCTCTTGGCACCTAGATAGGCTAGCAGCCTCCTGAGCACCACATGCCAAGCTCACCTGCCTGTCCCATCAGAGTCTATGATAACCAAGAGCAGAAGCAGTGATCTTAGAGCCGCCAAACACGTGCCTTACATGTACTGAGTTTACAACCATTTATTTTTAAAAAGGAACTTTTGATGACAACCGAGCTGCCTCTTCCTCTTGTTCTTCCTCTCTGTAAAATAGTTTACAGTTCAGTCTTTGTGGMAACTCTGTGCTTTACTTTCACTACTCTGGGCCTTTCTTTCTTGTATGCTACTGCACTGCTCACATGCTGAAGCTTTGTGATTGCTGAGACTGGTGGCAGAWGATACCCCTTCCTGCCAGGAAGCCCACAAGTGCCTCTCACTGTGCAGTGGGAATCCTCCCTGGCTTCCTATCCTTACAGAAACTGCATTTAGCATTTACTTGTATTTCAAAGAGCTCAGTTTCCTAGAAGCCCTTTACTGTATGATGGCTTCCTTTCTCTCATTAAATCCTAGGACAAAGGAGTAGACAGAAAAGGATTGAATCATATAAATCTAGAACCTCTGGGCATGCAGTGATTCACCACTTACAGGGAACATTGGCTCCAAGGTGTTTGGCATATTTAACAATCTTATTTTTACCCCAAATAGCATATTAGATATCACCATCTCCATTCATGGAGAACCGAAAACAATACAAGGTAAAATAATGTAAATGAGATATTGATTGCATGTGATTTTAATTAAGAAGTTTAATAGTAGAGTCCAGAGAAAACTTCAAAATATTAAGAATTAAAAAGAATAAGCATAATAATATTATCTCCCTCATTGAAAACTCCAGGGATTTCTAGATAGAAAGCATGTAAATGGATATAGCCTATAAGATTTTGGTTTGTTGTAGGAAAGTTTCCAAAACTACTACAGATTTTATAAATTAAAACTCCTATATCCAAGAATAACTATTTTTAATATTTGTTATTATTTGTTTCTGTAAAAAAATTCTAGGTAGTCTGGTGTACCTTTCCTATAATAAAAACGATTTTGTTTTCTTGTTTTTGAGGAAGACATGAGCATCCACGAGAGCACAGTTATTGTATTAGTGACCTTGTGGTTAGAAAAGATGATCCCTTGGGCTCCTGAAGAAATGTCCACGCAGCCCATCCCAGAGCGAAGAAGCTGGGCTCTCCTGGGAATCTGCCTGATCCTTAACTCGGGGTGATGGCGGCTCTCAACAGAAAGGGAAAGTTTGAAAACATGGGAATGATGCCTGTCATGATTGGAGTAAAAGCTGGAAGTTTTAGTTTTATTAGAATAGTACCCTGTGGAGGGAAACATTTTTTTTTCTGTTTTATTGTCTAATAGTATATAACTCTGGTCTTGATAAAACTAAAGAAATGATAAATTTGTCCTGATATCAAATTAATCCAACCTATTTTCTATGCTAAGGYAGTGTGTGCCTCAGCTCAGGAAGGAGCCCAAGTCTGTCATGTGGAACCCAGAGGAGAGCTTTTGGAGCCCCGAAAACCTGTCACAGATAACTCTCGGTGGGGAGTTTAAAATGTCAAGGCCAAGGTTGGAATGCCATCCACAAAGARCAGGAGATTTGACAGAAATCTATATTAAACTATTCTAGGACAGACTTAGGCTGCCTGGAAAAGTCAGAAACTTCTCTGGACAGGTGTCAGTGTTCTGATCTAGTTTCTGTTTGGTGATATTGGAGCTTGCCCTAATATCAGACCTTTTTGCCATCTYTGCATAGTAAAGTAGCTGGGAGACCTGGTTCCAATCTCGTTGGGTGCTAACCCACGATCCTACTTGGAAGGCAGGAATGACTCCAACCCTCAGCCTGCTCACATACACAGGCCTTAGAGTCAGAGTCGTTTATTTTTATGGAAGACTGRAAGCTTTGGACATCACCAGAGTCTGTGATCCGCTGTCATTCAGAATGACCTGGACAAGGGATCTTCAACCCACACAAATCTAACTCACAGCCYGGAAAACATTCACTTGCTTAATGTAGTCTGGCATTTTATTTCTACTACTCATTTATCTACATTAATCTTATTGGTTGTTTATCGATTGATTGATGGTTTAAGTAATTTCTCTCCAAAAACTCAAGCAGTCTAAAATCTGCTGTGACAGACTGTTACTGGAGAATACAGTGAAGGGCTGTGATCTTAGACCTTTTGAAAATAGAAGGTCCAACGTGGAAAAGGACGGTGGGGACTTTTTTCACTTCCTGCGCGTGGCTTTCGCCTGCGGGGTTCTCTTTGGTGGTGGACGGCAGGGGCAGTGGGTCCAGGGAGCATGTCCTTGTCCCTGAGCATCGCTGACTGTCCGTGTGCTCCTTTGCAGAGCTGGAGGCCGAGGAGTGGTGCAAGCACCTGTGCATGGAGTGCCTGGGGACCCGGCTCAACGACATCAGCCTCGGGGAGCCAGACCTGCTGGCGGCGGGGGTGCAGCGCGAGCAGAACGGTCAGTGTCCGAGCCGGCCGGACCTCGGTAGTGTGTCAGGCCCATCATATTAACCAAAATAAATAAATAAATAAATAAATAAATAAATAAATAAATAAATAAATAAGGAAACAAATCCATCAGTCCACATTACTGTGGGACTTTCCCACGATGGCATAGCAACTAGAGAAAATGCGAAGGTACAACCCAGGTCTCCTGGCTCCTTGTCTTTGGCGTTGTCATTTGCTCCTATTTTCAGTAGGAAAGCACCCTGGATGAGATCTCAGAGTWCCACCAGCCTTTGAAGATGTAGCACCCCTACATTTCCTTCTCCGGAAGTGGGTACAGATTCAGAGCCTATGTTGACAAATGTGGCTCCTCAGGTTGTCAAGTGCTTTTAAAGTATGTGCTATTCTCAGTAGGAAAGTACCGAGGGTGAGATCTCAGAGTACCCCCAGCGTCTAATTTAACAGGCATTTCTGATGCCTCTGAACAATCCATGCTGCATGCTCTTGATTAGCACCTCCAATGCAATTGGAGTAGTGTATGTATTATTCAATGGAAAGTCTTGAATTATATTCAGGATAATTAGTAATTGTTGATGAGCCCATTTCCCCCTACTTTTTAAGTAATTAACACCACTACCAGGTGATCCGGTATTGTGCAAATAGGAACTTTTCGATGTTTGCATTTGATGGTCAGTATTGAGAAAGTCTGAGGGTAACTGGTGAAACTTGACACTGTTTATTAAAGAGAATTTATGGGACCCTCCAGGGTGTATGAACTAGACTGTACAGGTGAAGTGCACCAGGACACCACTGATGACCATAGTCCTGTTGCTACTAATAACAATGTTGATAATAAGCTCTGCTATTTCACAGCTCATTAGAACACTCTTTCTTTTATTTGTCACTGAAACAAGGAAGCAGGATTTTTCCTACTATTGATCATGAATATATGCAGGCGCCAGACACTGCCTCTGTCAGATAATTTTTACAAAGTCACAAAAGCATTTCTGCCAGGTTCAGTGTCACACTTCTKTAATCCCAGCAGCTGGAGAGGCTGAGACTGGAGGATCAAGAGTCCAAAGCCAGCCTCAGCAAAAGTGAGGGGCTAAGCAACTCAGTGAGACCCTGTCTCTAAATAAAATACAAAATAGGGCTGGGATGTGGCTCAGTGGTTGAGTGCCTCTGAGTTCAATCCCCGGTACACCCCCAGATGCACATGCACACGCACACATACACACAAAAAAGCATTTCTGCAGCTTTTTCTGGGTTCCTCTTTACACCTCGGCTCCTTTCCCACCTCGCTCAGATTTCCACATCTGATTTGTTTTCTGGAGCTGTGATAAGCACAGAACATCCATAACCATACTGCTTGAAGTGTGCTGCTCATTCACAGTTTAAGAAAAAGAAAGAGAGCAAGAGAGAGAGAGAGAGAGACAGAAAAAAAAAAACTGTTACCGATAAAAGAATTGTCAAGTACTACATAAAGGAAATACGAAAGGGTTTGTAAATTGAGGGAGATGCATCTCTTCCAGCGTACACTATGTGCTTTCAGTTTAAAGATTTGAAGTTGTGTATGGTTTCCATCCAAATGGAAAATGGAATCCTCTTATTATAATTCTGTTTGTAATTTGATGATAATGTTAATTTGCCTAGAATAGAAAGGGAAAATTTAAATATAGATTTGGACTTAGGATAAAACAAATATGGAATTAAATGTAAGAGCTACATGAAAAGCAGAGTTTTCCTTTTATAAAGGATCACAAGTAAAACCAAAGAAAACAACAACAACAGAAAATTCCTGCCCATACTTTAGAGCAGATCTGAAATTGTAATATTGCCTAGGCCACAAATGCTTGTGTTATTTTTTGTTTGTTTGTTTGGTAAACCATGCAAAAGGGTGAATGTGCTTTTTAAAATACATTTAACAAATCCTTGAATAATTACTGAGCTGGGTAAGGTAGTATCGGGTTCACTTAAATGGCCTTCAGAAGGTTCACAGTGCCCTATAAAGAAATTGGCAAGCTAACTCAGTATATATGCAGACACACACACACACACACACACACACACACCTCTCTTCAGTGCTTGGCAACAACAGGAAACCCTTTGATGGGAGAATTGCCTTTTCCAGGGAATTACTGTCTCCCCACCTCCAGGCCAGGTGTGTAGCCAGCTTAGGGCTTGGAGGCTTCTTTTTGTTCAGGTGGATCCTTAAACCCACATGGTACCTTTCCCTAGCCCATGGAAAGCTAATTAAAACGTTTAATACTTCTCGYGCATATTAGAGTAGGACAATAAAAAGAATAAAGCTCAAGATACATCAAGACTTCTGACGCCACTGTGGCAAACTCCATCATTCTAGTGTCTATATGCAGCTGGGGAAGAAGTGTACACACAGATCACACAGGTTCTTATGTTCACGCCCAGTTTTCTCCCTTCCTATCCATCAGGCATCCCCTGTGCATATGCCAGCTCCAACTGAGAAGCCCCTGGAGGTGATTAACTCCCATGGGCTCTAAAATCTCATGGTCAAGATTGGTTCTCAGCTGGCTGGACCCTCTCTTTAAGGTCTGAGGCTTCCCTTAGAACCAACGGTTATGACCATTAACTTGACTTAAAATGTGTAAGGAAGATGCTTATTGTGTTAGCTAGCTGATTAATGTCTTTAAAAGTAGTGTCTTTCAAAACTCTTCTTTCATTGATTCYCAACACTGTTCCAGACTTTTCAAGACAAATCTTCTAAAATAAACAAAATAATTAACTTCTTAATACATGTTTGAAGTAATTAATATGTACAGATTGAACTAAATCCTTTATGAAGAATTTGTCATTATAGATTCAGGGTTTTTTTTTTCTTGAGGCATTTTGGTATTAAATTATACAATTTATTCTCTGTCAGAGAAATACTTTGTTATATTGTCAATCATGTGGTTGGATTTAATTTGAAGTTTTTCTCCTAAAAGATAAGATAAAGCATCCAGAATTGATGTGAAAATTACATTAGAGTGGCTTGTGATGACCTTGCGGTATTCTACAATCGAGGTAAAGGCACACCGCTTGGTCTTGACCACAGCATTATTTTGACATTCAAAATTGCTACTTCTCCTCTAGTATTTTCCTGGCTGTTCAGACAGCCTGGTCCTATTTACTCTGAGGCAAAATAAGAATAGATATTTATGCAAATAATTTTAAAGGTGAAAAATAATGTGTTTTGCTGAGATAAAAGTGGTTATTGATTAAATTCTTTGCCATAATCACATTTATCTAAAGCTGTCAGCTGCTTTCCCATTGACTCAGATCCTACGTTATATATAAGCAAACACAAACCCTCTCTCTCTCTCTGTCTCTCTCTCTCTCTCTCACACACACACACACACACACAAACACACACACACACACACACACACACACGATTCATAGACTTCAGGTAACATTGCCACAAGAAACAGTATACTTTTTTTAAAGTAGACTTTAAAAAACTTAAATTCTTATACTTTCTTATACTTTCTTGGATCTCCAAATATTTCAGCAGCATTTCAGATAGCCTACATTGACCTTGGAAAGTATGAATATATAGTGTAACAGTCATAGTTGTTTATCAAGGCTTCACAACCCATAATAACACTTCTGGAAAACAGATGTCGCATATTCATCATCCATGGCAAAAGTGAGTGTCATGATCAGGAGGCAGCTCATTTGCAGGAACGTCCTGCAGTGGCAGTTGGAAGGAAATATGGGGGATGTCCAGCTTGCTACCAATGCAAGACACCTCTCTGTGTCCRGAGCAAACCAACCAAAAAGTCACCTCAGTCTTTGACACCTGGCTGATTCAGTCAGGTCTGAGAGTCTGGTTTTATCCAAGGCCCAGTGGCTCTGCCAATGTGGACTAGACTCAGCATGAATTCCTACATTCAGCCATATTTTCTCCAAACCAAAGCAATGTTCTATGTTGGCTCTAAACTCTTTACCTGGATTGCCAGAGTAACCATATTGCCTCCGTTGAACTCAGACACCTATAAATATCATTCACTCTTTCATTGTTCACACATGAAATATTTTTGAGGACCTATGATATCCAAAAACTAAGCTAAGGGAATGTAGAATTGAACAAAACATGGTCATTAGCCAAGAAGCTTGCAAAACAGTGAAGGACACAAACTTCCAAGCAAGGTCTATCAATCAATATTTTGTAAAATACTGTGTTGCCATTACCAGAAGCATGTCTTTGCTGTTCATGGATAGGGGAGTGGCTGGAGCTCAGTTCAGTTAAACTGAGTTCTGCTGAGATGGACTCCAAGTATCTCTCATCCTCCCTACACCTGCAGCTACCAAAAGCATGTCTCAAAACAATTAATAACTGATGCAAGAAAGCAAGACTAAACTTGCAACTTAACTTCATCCTCTGCATATTTCATGTCCACTGATATTGCATTGACCAAACAGGTCCTGTGTCCAATCCCAAAGTCAAGAAGCACAGCAGAGCTCACCTGTGAAGCCATTAAAGAGGTTAAAATGCATCACCCAGAGGAAGAAAGAAATGAATGATTGAGGGATATAAATAGTAATGATGCTAAGCTGCTTTCTAAGCTATGACAAAATACATGTCAAAAAAAAAAGTGTTGTGGTACAGTTGATTAATTCTTATCAATGTAGATTATCCTCTTCTTTTTTAAAATTACTTTTTAATCCTCAAAATAGCTTCCTCAGACAAATCTGAAATTCTTAATGCCTATCAGTGATTAAAACTAACATTGGCAGGACTTTACTGATGGAAGATGGCCATGGTTCATGAGAGGACAGTGGCAACAGTAACAATAAATATCCATTTAAGGGCTTTTTCCCAGTTCCTCAAAAATGATATAAGGTATATGATCTTGATGCTCATACATGTTCTTTATAACCAGTGAGTTTGCAGGCTTATCATTTTGTCCATAGGGAGACACAGAGCAAAACCAACTTGCACAGGGAAAGAAGTGGACTGAGTTCTAAGTGCTGCCCACAAGCGCTAGCATT